ACACACACACACACACACACACACACACACACACACACACACATACGCACACACGCACACACGCACGCCCGTGCGAGATAGAGAGAGGTTCACATAAACTATGCTGCTTTATAACGTGTGGTAAATAATTCAACGTGTCGGTATTCTTGGGCGAACTTGTATACCTGGTCACCATCTCATCAACTATGCGCACACACACAGATTGAGACATCGAGATTGAATCGTTGTAAGCAGCCGTTATTGTGATACTCCGGGTCGATGAAACCGCAGTAGCAGAGGCGGCGGGTTCAGTCTGGGTTTGCTCGCCGAAGAACAGACAGGACGAGTAGAGGGAGGAGGGAGGAGGAAAGAAGCAGGGAGGAGGAAGAGGAGGGAGGAGGGGAGGAGGGAGGAGGAAAGAGGCAGCAGAGACTGGGTTCAGTCTGGGTTTGCACGCCGAAGGACAGACAGGACGAAAGGAGGGAGGAGGGAGAAGGGATGAGGAGAGGAGGGATGGGGAGGAGGGAGGAGAGGAGAAGGGAGGGGAGACGGCAGCAACGCCTGGTTCAGTCTGGGTTTGCTCGCCGAAGGACAGACATGAGGAATGGAGGGAGGAGGCAAGGGGGGAGGATGAGGGTGAGGAGGAGGGAGGAGAGAAGGGAATAGGGAGAGACCGGAAGGAAAGGAGGGAGGAGGGAAGTCGAGTGAGGGAGAAGGAAGGGGAAGAGAGGAGGGAGGAAGAGGAAGAAGGACAAGCGAGAGGATGGGGAGGAGGGCGGGAGGACAGGCAAAGCGAGTAAGAAGATCGAGAAGATAAGAAGTCGAAGAAAATGGGTAGTAATTGTAGTAGCGGTAGCGGTGGCTGGTAGCGGTAGCGGTGGTAGCAGTCGTAGTAGTAGTGGTAGCGGTGGTTGCGGCGGTGGTAGTGGTAGCGGTGGTAGTGGTGGTGGTAGCGGCGGTGGTAGCGGTGGTGGTGGTAGCGGTGGTGGTAGCGGTGGTGGTGGTAGCGGTGGTGGTGGTAGCGGTGGTGGTGG